AATTATTATATTGTGTTTAAAAATGATTAAATTATCTTCTTATGTCAACACATAATAATATATTCTTTTTAGTCAGTAATGGTATTGTACCTATATTAAAATTATTCATAGAATATTATAATAGGTATGAGTGTATGTATTTAATATTAATAAGCACTTTTACATAAAAAAAAAATTGTTACTCTTGTGGCGGAACTATATTTGATATCATAATTTAAAAAAATTTTAATTTTAGTTCAAATTTTTAAGAAAAATATTTTTTTTTATGATAAACGAACCAAATAATTTTCTCATTTTATTATAGAATAATAATTCCATTGCGATTTTGATATTCATTACCTATGTATATAAACATCCAAATGATTTTCAAATTCATTGAGTGCCTATGACAGTGGTATAGGTAACAAAATTGTATGATGTCGACTATGTGGCTGACATCTTTAAATTATATTAATTGTATTATTTCGACTGTAATATTGTAATGTATATTGAATACTATAAATTATTTGACATACAGATATTGAAATGATATAAACTTTGAACTGCAGTATCCTTAAACTGATAAATGTATAGTATAGACATGAAACCTATTAATTTCAATATATGTACAATTATAATTACCAGTTCACTAATATAAATTATTAGTAAATTCAATTTACTATAATTATAATTATTATAATATATTCAATTTTCATAGGTTAAAGTGCGTAATACATCGTTCATCTAGTATTCTTGTGCATGTTAATTAATTGTTTATTGCTTATTTTTTTTTTTTTACTTATTGACTATTGTTTACTTTGGTATTTTAATGGCTTAATATTAATTGTTATTAAGATAAAAAATAAAATATATACAAAACTATACAAAAACATAAATTCTTCATATTGATTGCTCAATTATGTAATTATTAGTATACGGCAATTAATAATAAAAACAATATAATACAATCTGTAACATATTTATTAATAATAATTAATTATTACTGCAAGCAAACGTCGAGAAGTGTGTCATAATAATATTATTCACTCTTAGTACCTTTCAACTTAATATTTGATCATCACTTGCAAAATTAACGTAAACCCTATAATATAATTCATAGTTCATATCATTATCATACTAAATTTAAAATACTATAATCTAATAGCTACTCGTGAAGAGATAAACGTCGATTATGCATAATCCCTTCTTCCTACTAAACGAGTCTGTTGGTTCAACGGTGGTCAGAAACGTTAGTTTAGTAAGCATCGAATAACCTTTTTATAGAAGGACACATTGTAAGTACCTACAATATAACTGGAAATGAAATGGAATATCGTACGGTACCCGAAAGACATTATATAAATACATAATTTGAGTTTTATGCAAAGTTTCTGTATGCAATTTGAATATCTAGAATAATATTTAAGCAGACGTTGTCCTTAGGTTTCGTTTTGCGTATTTATAATGTAAATTATTGTACGTCCGTCATTTGTCGGTTGATACTTGTCTTGATTTATTGTGAAATTTGCTACCATTGTTACTACTCACAGGTAATGTTGTTACTGCTTATTTTAACAAGAATGTGATCAATCTGTTTTTTTGCCATTGATAATCTGAAACTAAAACTAACAATATGCAATTTAATAAATTATATTTAACTTATTACTTATGAATAATATTATGTTTATTTTGTATTAAACTGAACTTTACATGTATTAAAGGTAAGATAAGTATTAGATACCTAAGATTATATTTTATGTACACAATTGTATAGATAAACATAATATATAATTTATACAATTTATTTTATCTTCACGAAGTTAAGTTGATTAAACTTTAATGTTATATAATTGTTTTTCTATTATAGACGATCTTTGACATCTATGGTCATTGGACGTAAGAATATTATAAATTTCAATTATTTTACAGTATTCATACGATAAACGCACAAGAAACAGAATAGTTTTGAATTTACAAAAATCAGTTTTGTTTTCTTGTTCTATTTCAATAAAAATCAAATAATAACCATCAAGATTTAAATTACCATCCAGCATTAAAATTATCATTTAATAGAAATTTTATAATCCTAAAAAGATGTTGGCTATGTTTTTGCTAGTAAGTTATAGACAGTTGACCTAATGTTTATAATTTATGTTGAAAACATTTTTATTTCTCAGTCAAAAAGCTTGACAGTTTAATAAAAGGTGCCCCTAAGATTTTCTTTCGTTATTCAAAATATATCGAAAATACTTTGTCACGATTTTACTTCATAAGCGCTTGAAGTTCAAATGATGACAGCATTTGTCAAAACTCACGAACATCAGGAAATTATTTTGTAGTTAAAAACTCATAACATTTTTAACCGTAATACCTTAATAATCGTAACTTATATAATTTTCAAAATATGTAGTGTAATATAGTTATTATTTTGCATTGTAAAATTATCAAACATTAGAATTAAAATGTTGTTTCATAAGAGTATACATTTTAGATAAAATTTCATAATTTTTTCAATTTTCCAACTTAATTCTGAAAATTAAATGCAAGCTCCAGGGTAATTAGTGATCCTGACGATCCTGTTAAAACAGTACAACAATGTAGAAACTCATTTTGGTTCAAACTATTACTTAGAGTGATAAATATATCCTTAGACTTTGGTCTCAGATTAAAATTATTTTTCATGAACAATGAATAGTACGTATTTGAAATCAAATACAACTCAAGCATTCATTCATTACAGTGACCTTCTGATGATGTAGTGCGTCATTTTAAACCTACACAGTAAATAAAGTATTTAATTATTTTTATAAAAAAGTATGTTTGCGTACATTATTTTTTATATGCTTTTATAATATTATGTCTTCAAATGTAGATAAACAACAAAATTTAATAAAAATAAATATTCAACCATATATTTCTTGAAATAAGAATTATAATGCTTACTCCATATATTTTTTTCTGTATGTGAAGTTATCATTAATTTTCAGTTTAAGCTTTTACTTAGAATTTTATGGTAATAGGAACAAAATATCATAGAAGAATTTAAAAATTAATTCAATTATGGAAAATTGTTCTTACCGATTTCAAAACAAAAAAAACTGTACATCGTAATTAAGTCCAAAACTGCCCTTCTATATTTAACATGTAATTATTACTAGCCCCTATGATGATAGATTCAGGAAGGTATATGTTCAATACTACATTGATCTATCGATATATTGTGTGTACGTACAAGTAAATTTAATACTGCACAACATTAGTCCATTTAAAACATTATTAACTATTTGACTGTGCCACTATGACACCTGTGCATTTATAATAGTCGGTTCGAGCTCTATGGTGGTAGGTATTGCACGATTACTTAATATTATGCACATTAGTGGCTGTAATTGAATGTGCTATACTATACTGTTCGAGACTTTCCTATAAATTGGCTATGTTAAAGTCATCCTGGATTTGTTCTTGTTTAGTTATACATGTTTGTTAATTTATGCTATCGATCAACAGTTACTGAGCGTAATTTACTGTCACGAGACCAAGGTGTTTTTTTTACAGGAAAATATATCAGACTTTGTGTTTGACGTTTCTCCTACTCAGATCTGAAGAAAGATTCGACTCATTTCCTTAATTTATTATAAACGCTTCTGTTCAATAATATCTTTTATTTTATATTTATAACAGAAATATTACAATATAAATTACAATATTAGAACTCAACTCATTATTGTTATGCTTGTAAATTTCATACTAAAACACAGTTGACCGCATCCCTTGCGGAAATCAGTGCGTTGAAAATATCTAAGTTATATATATTCAGTTTTCACTACCAGGACAAGCATTTCGATTACAACGGCATGTTTTAATACTTTCATCAAAGCGTGCAATTCAGTGTGACAGCGTGTACACATATTATTATTATATTTCCATTTTACAATTTAAATACCAACATGATATTCGTATAAGAAGTACAATTAATATTAAGACGAACATTATTATAGTTTTCTTAAGTTAAAACGAAATATAATATCAAATGTTTTTAGTTTTTGAAAACTGATCTTTGAGTAAACGCATTTGTTGTGGATACCTATTTTCCAATTAGGTACACTTGCCATTTTTTTATACAGACAATAGGTACGTGGAAACTTAGGCGTTTTTATCCATCATCAGTAAGTTATATATAATATTTTGTGTATAGGCGTTGGTATGTATTATCTCGTATATATGTATTTATTATATAATAAGCATATTATACAATATACGTTTTTGCAAATAAATTAATATTATTCAAACTTACTATACCATCTAAAATTAATTGGATGGTGTTATAACACGGTATAACACAATTACAAATGGTACCTATAACAATTTTTTCCATAAGTTCCAGAACTTAGGTCCACGTAAATCTACAAAGGTCTCGCATTCGTGTTAATGTAGTTACATCAAAAAGTCAACAACTGAGGGTGGAAACATAATCGCAGAGTCGTGTTAGAAACGAATTATTATTATATGCGTCAGACAGTGGCGCGGGGCGAGTTTAGTTGGAGTAAAACGAAAATCGTTTGTTGAATCCCGAATTATTTTATTACTGTTGTGTGTGTAGGTAAATCGTTTTAAAATTATATTGGATACAATTTTTTTTTCTCGACATTGTAGTTGTACTTACGTAGGTAGGTAATATGTATACTATGTTTTTGAGGAGGAATGGAGTGGGAGAAAGGCGTCTACTGGCAGAAAATCGCATTACGTCCGCCGGAGGCTAATCGATATTTTTCTTGCGCTTACGGGTCAGCTAATATTTAAGCGTAATTGATGAAAAAAAAAAAAATAATAATAATAATAATGACAATAACTACAACGATAATAATTCGGTTAGGAGATGGGAAAAAAATAAACAAATAAACAAATAAAACAAACAGCCGCCGCCGCGGACAACAAGGTCGCCACCGCACGTAACGTTCGGCCGCCGCCGGCCGTCAGATGGCGGTTTCTGCTGTCGTCGCCGGTCCCGTCGGCCACCGTCCCTAGAAACGCGTGCGAGTTCCAAGTGCGCCGCCTTTCCGCCCGGACCTCCGAGCACGTTTTTCTGTCTCTCTCTCTCTGTTTTTCTCGCTCTCTCGTCGTTCCATTCGATCGTCCTCCGACGTCTTCCGCGTGTGCGTTCTCCACTTTTCGGCCCTCGTTTTTCGCGATGTGCCCGACACTACAGATCGCCCATCGCCACCGGCTGTTATAATATCGAAATTAATTATTTACCGTTTTACCGGGTATCCAACACCTTAGTAACAATCCGTCCGCGAGCCGCGGAAATGAGCGTCTTCCGCGAAAACTCCGAACGATAACGAAACCGCATGACTATCGTAGAAACCGCACGCCGTACAGTATAACCTATTGTAGACCGTCGTCGTCGTCTTCGCCGTCACAACCGTTTGGACGAAGAAATTCTGTTCGAAAAGAAAACTCCGTCGAATCCATCAGATATCCGCTCGATTTCCTCCGGTCCCCGATGGCGGACCGGCGAGTGACGTGGTATGCGGCCACGCTGTCAGCAATTATAATTTCCGTAGCTGCTGGAATAGGTGAGTAATAATAATAATTACTGTGGAGTAGAGACTAGAGACCACTCGACGACGTTTAATAGGAAAAAATAAAAAGCGAAAAATCCACCCCATGCAAAGGCAAAAAAATAAAAAATTCGCCCTCACAAGTGCGTGAAATACGACAGATGGCTCTCCTCGTCAGCGGAATTCGTTAAAATTAATTTCGAACCAAAAATAATAATAATAATACTTTTGTTTTATTTCCTTGGTCTATATATACGTAACACGTCTAACATAACGCTCCTTAATAACCTAACCACGGACGTAGTTTTAAAGTTCAAATTGTACAGGAAAATGCCGTTTTAATCGCTCGGCAGTAAAACGGTTTATTTTTCGATAAGCCGAACCAACCATTACGATATTATGTCCTTACAAACTATTTCGTAACAGACATAATTCGATAATTTTGGTTGTATTTGTACAACATACCAACAATTATTGTAAATAATCATCGCTGATAGATATTAGTTGTTTTTTCGTTACATAGTTTGACTTATTAAATACTCATCCTGTAGTTTCGTGAGAAAAATAAATAAAATATATGAGTTATTGTTTAATGCACTGCTATTCGGTCTCTAAAAGTTCGACGCGTTATCCCATTGTGATGGCGGTAGTTGAAATATTCGCAGAGTCAAAAGTTTCAATTATTCTTATGAAACATAATTTTGTTTTGACGTAGTTTTTATCTACGAAAAAAAATTCTTGGAAACTAATTTCAACTTAATTTCGAGTCAATTAGCATTTTAATTAATATTTTCTTTGTTCAATTTATTTGTTCATCATGGTATTGAAATTAGTTTTCTAAATCATGATATTTGTCGACGAAAATAATAATATTATAATGACAAGTTAATGATGTGTTTACAATAATTAACCCAGTTATTTTTAAATGTATTAGCTTTTCGTGTATTATATCAAACGATTTAGTTAATTGCACGTAACTTTTTTTACTTTTATTTTTTTGCTGATATGTAGGAAATACGTGTCGAAACAAATAAAATTAGTTTAGTAATGATGCTTATCTGGTAAATTGTACGTAAGAAACAAATTAAAAACAATAGATTAAATTGGCATTAAGCTTTAAACTTTAAATCGAGAAAGAAATTGCATTCGTGTTAAATCTGATCTTATCTTTTTTTTCTATTTTTACCAAAACTCCAGGGACTATTTTCTCAACTGAAATTCAGGGATGTAAACGATTTGCGATTTAGAACCACTTTTATTTGAAATGTCTTTTATATCAATCGTTTCTTCGCACCCTTTTACTTCAAACATTCGGGTTTTACTAACCGGAATTTATTATTGGTCTAATTTAACCAAAAGTACTCTGGAAAATTTGGTACTCATAGGAAAATCAATAGGTGTAGGGGATTTTTTTTTTCAATCGTACAGTTTTTTTTCTTCGTTAACCGTGTGCTAAGACATACCACGGCAAGAAATAATGCTGTTAAAATGTGACATGCTTATTAATTTACCGATTATCAAGAGTGTGTTATTATACAAATAATTACCATTTACTTTCAACAGAATATTACATCGTTATAATGTTTAGGTTACACGATGACAGCATTTGACAAATCATGTAGATCGTAGAGGTTTTAATCACAACAAGTTTAGATGTAATGCCGTTCAAAAAGGATTTAAGAAGAAAAACCCGATTACATCGGCCGTAAGCCCAATAAATACGATGTATAATACTTAGGTCAAGAGGAACACCTATATACGTAATATATAGATGTAACCGAGATTATCGCAGAAACCGTTAGTTATTTTTAGTCGAATGAATATGGGTATCTCGCCGTACACGTTTTTCTGTCTGTGAGTGAAATGGTGTTCCAAACTGTATGCGAATAAAAAAAATCTGATCAAATTTGGGGTACGATCTAACGTACGTATGCAATCTCATATTATGATAAAATAGATAACCACGACAACATAGATAGGGAGATGCGCATACTGAAAAAGATAGTTACAATATTATACAACTGTGATAATACCTATCTATTTCGTCATGTAGACAACAAAAGTATATTGTATTATTAAAATGCGCGTGTTTGAGGAAACCGAATGTCCACTAATAACCAGTAGTAAATAGTAACACTAATACGTTATACTGTGGTATAAAATCATATACCTAAACCCATACACACACGCACTCGCAACACCGACGACTGCGGTCCCGTATGGGATGATATCGGGACAATGTGATCATGTGACTAGTCGACTTGCCGATACTACGCTTATTATGAATATACGTGTTGTGTATTGCAATGTAATAATAATATTATATTACATTGTACAGTGGTAATAATGATCAACTCCTCGGAGGGTGTGCATATATATATATATTATATCGTATAATATTAATTATAAAGACGAGGAACACAGTAGTTTATGGCAGAGTTGGAAATTCGGTGCACAAATAATACCAACGGTATTGTATATTTTATTATGTATACGATGTGCTCGGTGTTATACATTTTATTCGGTCGGGTCCGTCTCTGGATGACAAGACGCGTGTGTCAAAATGTACATGGGCCGCTGTAGCGGCGTAAAGTCTTCATCGCGACGAGTTTCGCAGTCTCCAGAAACTTTTGTGAAACATTGTTCTACGTTCGAACGAACGAACGAATGAATAAACGAATGGTAATATTGTAATATTGTAATAATGGCATCTCGTGTAATGAAAGCCTTTTGTTCTCGGAGGCCGGCTGCAGTCGTCGACACACCGTTGTCGGCAAAACTGCCGAAGGATATTATTTCATACATATATATTATATATAATATATTATTGGTATATTATATTGTTATTGAGAGCACATATTTTCTCTTCGTCGAGTTAACTTAAAATATAATTTATACGTTACATATTTAGTCCGAACATTCGTCGCGGATAAACAGACGATAAAACGTTAGCGGGGGGCCGTGGGCTTAACAAGTTTCGAGATAAATATTTTTTGTTTTTTTTGTTTTTTTTTTTTACCGACATAAATATAAAATAATGTACGATAAATATGTGCCGGAAAAATGTCGTTTTCACGTGCGCGCACGGGAAACAGTCGAGTGATTTAGGAGACGCGCTCGTCCACCCCGACCAGTCGACAGAATCGGAAAACTTGTTACCTACAGTGGCCTTGTACGACAACAACGCACAGATTATAATATCATTGTAATAGTCTACTTACCTATATAGGGTACGAATCCTGGGCTGCTGTTGGACGGTTGTGGTCTCGTAAGTCCGGTCATCATAGGGTCACCATTTTAAGACAATAAAAACCAGGGACAGTTATCACTCCCCCCATAAAAAACCTCTCTATATATATTCACACGTCATATGCTTTTAACTGTAAAGTGTAAAAGTCCAAATCTGTGTTACAAACAAGTGTTGTCTAATTAATTGACCCTTTTTGAATTAACTATCGGCCCTCGATCTTCGTTCCACGAACTCGGTTATCAGCTGTTATACATATATTTGCTCATAATACTGTTTTGTATTTGTTTCAAATAATGGTTTCTTTTCAAGATATAATGTAACAGTATGGAAGACGGGATTAAGACGGGACAGTCTTCTAAAAATGGGATAAAATAAAGCGTCCCATCCGAAGCTCGGGGGGACTGCGGGACATGATGGTCAAAATAGGGACAATCCTCTTTTAACCAAGATATCGAGTCACCTTTGTTTATCATTATCAAAAAATGTTACCCGATGTGTTCGGCACTTTGTAACATAACCTAACCGAACATTATGATAATATTATATTGCATGTAGTTATTATTCTTTTAGAAGTCAAACGGCCGCAAGTCGTTTGCTAATTGAACGACGCGTTTTACGGCTGTTATTGGTCTGGGGTCTGAAATGCACGCGAATATAATTATAATACGAGTAATAATAATGGACGAAAAAAACCACCCGTATGTATATAATATGCGAACCTTGAGTGCGCGCTCGTTTAATTCGTCCGTCCGCGTATTATGGTGGTAGCGACGTTGGTTGTGGCGTGATGGTGGATGAAGTTGGGATGGACGGCGGTGGAAGTTATGGTGGAGGAGGTGATGGTGGTGGAGGTGATGGCGGCGGTGGACATTGCCATTTCTTGTTTATAAGGGAATTATACCCGAATTATCGTGCCGGTCGATCTTTAATTACATCAACCAAAATTATTTCATTTAATTTTTTAATTTTTTTTTTACTGTTATTATTTTTATCTCTAACTCTCTGACCCATATACGTCGGTTTTAGTGTAAACAGCTGTCATCCGCATAATTAATATAATTGAATGCGTCGGGTCTTAAAAAAGTACGCTTTATTTTTGTTTGATGTTCAATTACAATGAATTAAAAATAACTATTTTGATAAAGTATAAAAAAAAATCCATATATATTATGTACCTATGTGGTATGTATAGCGACGTGTATACGATATACATTTTAATGAAACGCTTTATTTGTCAGTTTAAAATCGTCGGAACCTTAATTTAATGCAATTCGCCGGTTGGGCGTATTAAGTTAACTTTTCCGTTCATAGAAATCAATACAAAAATATAACTGTTTATTTTTTATTCAGATATCTATGTATAAAAAAATGGACATTACTTCTGAGAATTTTACAGTACACTGAAGGCAGATATTAATCAAATCAAATTAAAATATGTATATATGGACACGAATGGATGGTGGGTACACATACTATAACCGTGGCAGATATCCGGTAACCAGGGTTTGAACTTGATCAGCTATCACGCATGGTGGAAAAAATATGATAAAGAGCACCAACACGTATAAATGGAGTCCCCGAGGTGCTTTAAATTGTCTACATAAAATACATCTTACACGGGGAGTCGTCATTACGACGTGCGCAGTACAATCGTTCCACTCCGTAATAATAATAATAATAATAATAATAATAATAATAATATATAATAGCCAATACAATAATGCTGGATAATAAAATGTGATATTCAGATGTAAATCATGACGACGAACACTGAATAATAATAATAATAAAAACGGTCAAATATCTCGAAAACCGTCGAAAATATTATATCCATTCATTATATTATCTGCTGTGATCGTATTATAACTTAAAATATTATGATAATATTAATAATAATAATATTGTTCACACGAGTGTGAATGGTGTCTGAACGACTGTGGCTATTATATATTATTATTCTGTATTAATTAACACGTTGCGATAAAATGGGTCCGATGCGATATCGATAATTAATACACGGGGTTCACACTGTCCAGTGTAGAGGTCCACCGGGGCCTCAAACGATAATGATATTTTGTCTCTGCAATAAGTGTGTGTGTGAAGATCGAGCTATGGTAAACGTAATATTAATGTTATGATAATGCGACTTTACGTGTGCCTAAAACATTATGTCCAACACAATAAAAACTAAAAATCCATTATTAATTATTCACATGCGAATACGGTCGCAACTCATTCTGCATTAATCGGTGGAGACCAGACGAAACACGCCGTTGTGTTATCACACTCGGGTACTTAATTATATTATGCTGAAAGTTTTACTCACGAATATTAATGTAATATTATTATGCACGTACCTGTACTTTAGTGTCTGTCCGTATATTCTAATACACTATACTGAAAGATAAATTTGAAGGGACTATATAATATGAGCAAAATATTGTGCTAATGCGTCTCCGCATATCGTACCGACATCGAGGAGATAATATAATAATATTTTGTATCTACAGTACAGCATAGAATAATAGAATGTTGTGTAATAAAAATAACGATCTGATTAATTACCATGGACTAACTTACAGCTAGAAAAACTACATCATAATATTATCAATGATATACTTCACCTTTTCTTTGTGTCACACGCCCACAGAAACTCTCTTTGTCTCTTACTGTTGGAGTAAATTGTGTCAAATTGACATTTGAGATATTAAATCAATAATATATCCATCAATAAGCGAAGTTGTCTTCATTTGTTCAATTCACTTTTTTAATTTAGTCTTACACATCATTAAAAATTGTTTTCAAAAGGCTTTATTCGAAAAGTATTCAGGTTGGATCATCACAAATTACATTGTTTTTTTTTTTTTTAAATTATGTACGCTTTTTTGTTGGACACTCTCTAAAAGTATACATAGTTATAATACATTTGTCATAACCCAACTGAATTTTTACCTGTCTTATAAAACGATGGTATTTATAAATATGTCGACAATAATTACGAGAAAAAAATGATGATAAAACTTGCGACGAAGAAATGTTTAAAATACGAGTATACGTCAAAAGTAACACATATTTATATTCCAGACACATTATTTACTCAGTTTGTATCACAAGTCCGGAAATTGAAGAATATTAACATATATAAGGGATGAATATATATTCTGACAACTTTTGTCGTCTCCACCTATGACAGTTTCTAAAATGTATCACGTGGACACTAAAAATGCATTCAATCATTTCTACATGAAATCGGATTCAAAATAAAATACCTAGTCTAATGTTTATAATATGCAACCTTGATCCTAGTATAAACTTTATGTATTTTTTTTTTTTACTGTTATTGCAGTATTATACTCCATTTTATTCTTTATTATTCCCATTGCATTGTTTACTATTAATTAAAACTACGTTTTGTAAAGCTGTACCTTTCCATGCGTTTGTTTTTCCAACAAATAAGGAACGTATTTATAATGCTAATTCAATATTTATACTAAGTCAGTTTACAATATTTTAAAATTACAACAAAATATAGTGATAACATAATAACGTATGTCAAACATAAAATATCCAATTATCGGTTTTCAATAGTAATAATGTTATAAATTATAGTGGCAACCTGGGCAGCCTACGTAATGTTTTCGTTATTTATTTAAACTGTAATTGGTTTTGAATAATAAATATTAAACATTATTAGTACGTACTGCGTACCTCCTACACGTGCTTAAACAGTAAAATGTTAATTGTATGCAACGTATGCCATACACATATAATCCTATTGGAATTAAAATATTATGAACAAGACTAAAAATTTAACTTATTGTGTTAAGAATTTCATAAAAAAAAAAACTTTATTCATAATTTAGTCATTACCATTTACACTTGACGATTATCGGTTTATATTTTTCAGACGTTTTCTCGTTTAGATAATCAAAAAGTTTGAAGTTTTTAACTAACTATATGAAAAAAAGTTTTTACTGAACAATTTTAAATGTTTGAATATAATACGACTTATTATAGCGAAACAGTTTCATAAAGAAAAAAAAAATAGTAATAATAGTAGGTAATTAATAATTGTTACCGATAAGAAGTTAAAAATTCGAGTGATTCGTTTTATTGGGTCAACCATTTCAGTCGTAATTATAAAAACAGTTTTATTTTTTCATAAATGAGTCATTACCATTTGTATTTGATGATTATTGGCTTACATTTTTCAGAGGTTTTCTCATTTAGATTATCAAAATTATTGAAGTTTTTATCTAAGTGTATAAAAAAAAGGTATAAATGTTTGAATATAATATGACTTATTAGCGTGAATCAGTATTATAATAACAGTAATAGTAATTTATAGATGTTATAAATATAAAAGTAAATTATTTACAACTTCAGTTATATTATTTACTTAAGCACAATATTTTGAAAATATGTCATTTTTAATCAATAATATTAGTTTTCTTTTCTCGCCAACGGGAAATGTTTTCTCTCGTATAATGGCATTGGTCGACGTCCAACGTTCGTTGTACAAATAGTACCTTAAATTCTGCGTGTCCAATTAGTATTTTAAAAAGATTCTTCTCATAGGTACTGTGATTATAAATATAGCGAAACACAATATAGTCATTGTAGTTTTCATACTATTAATGATGTAAGGTTCTATAAAATTATTCAACGATTCGATTTCCACCACGATGTTGCTGATGGTATTTTCATTTATTATTTATTTATTACACTCGTGTTCTAAATTCGAATACTTAACGCCAAACTATAAATTTTGTATTCACAGTGCGTAAAAATCGAGTCACGATGTGTGGACAAGGCGACAGTAAAAAAAAAAAAAAAAAGCCATATCGTATTTTTTTCAAGTCACTGTAATATGGGTACAATATCGGCTTCTGACTGCGCAGAAATACCCTTCGGCGTGCGTCCGGTATACGTGGTCATAAACGGCTACGACCTCGGTCACGCGTACACGCACACGCCGCATAATATAGCATACAATACCGTACTCCCGGGTTTCGTATACCTAATTAAATGTAAATACGGCGGCGACAAGCAGAAAGTTAGATCGCAAACGCAAACATCTTAGCCGGATAAACTCTGGGCGAGCGACCCAGTCAATAGAAGTCAATTGACTGCCGACAATATAATGCCGCCGCCGCCGCCGCTGTATTAGAATGAATTGTGTATGACAATGCACATGTATGTTGTGTGATATATAATATTATTGTATTATTATGTCGTGTCCGGCGTGTGTGGTTTTTATTGCCCTAAAAAAAAAAAAACAAAAATAAAAAACGGAAATGGGGTTGCAGGTGCCCGAAACGACGGTGGAAAATACAAGAAAAGATTATTTTGTAAACTTGTTTGTGGACGAATGTTACATAATAGTAAAATATATTGCCTTATAAATATAATATAAAATAAAATATATTGCCCACTTATTCACATTAAATCTGTGCAGTAAATATTTTATTTTTTGATATGACATGTGCCAGGTGCCTGTTGGATGTTTTACGATTTAGCTACAACTTGATCATTGAAACCATTGTGGCTTATGGGAACTTTCAACAAAATTCATACATGTTAAATATTCATTCTCAACAATAATTTAATTAAATAGCTCATAATATATTTTGTTACTATATTTAACATTTTTTATTAGATTTCACATAATTTATATGTGTTTAACATAACCCGGGTTCTTATAATCCAATACAAGTAAATACTCTGTGGCTGTGCCTGCATTGGTTGTTGATACCCAAAAGCACAATAATTGATACATTTTTGTTTTAATAGCCCATCTGAAAAGTGCGAAATTGATTTAAGGTTTTGTACCTAACCTGATAGTGGAATGAAATCGCAAAAATAGATTGCATAACCTGGTAGATTGATGTACCAGTTGCACCATATAAGTTTCAGTTTAAAATTTGACGATCACGGTATTATTCAGTTTTCAAATATTTAAGATGCATTTTTCCATTTTATAAAATAACAGTGATCGTGTCCCGTAAAATTTAGTGAATAATCATCTAAGTTAACTATACAATATTGAATATAATATACAGTATAAACAGCATAAGCTTTAGTACAATGCGATTTTTAAAGCCATTGATTCCTAGGTACATAATTTTATTGAAAATGACAGCACATAATCATCACACTTCTGTGCTGATCCATCTTCAAACGACTACCAATAGTCCAAAATCATATAAAACCATCACTTTAATGACCGATTTTATAATCCACCTATTTCAAATATTTTATAATTTGATTGAAGCACTTTAAAGACTGAAAGTATAAGTTTCTTTAAGACTACAATGAAATTAACGAAAAATGAAAAATTACCCGCCCTTGGAAATTGTTAGAAACGTAATATTTTTTCACGCTTATGTGATGTTTATTTTTTGGGTAGATGTCGTATTTTAGGCATCATCCAAAAATGGTTGCATAATATGTGAAAAGAAAATTGTGAAAATAATTTTTGAGCTTTAATTCAACAATTCATTACTGTAGGCAGCATCTTCAATGTTAGAAATTAAATCAAAATATCATATCAATAAATAATCATTTATTTTTAATTTACTAAAACTTCACTAAAATGTTTTATTCGTGAAATAATAGGTGTGCATAATTATACAGTTTGTTTGATCCACTAAAGGTATATAATACTAGTAAAATACTTATTTTTTCTGAAGGGATTTTGACGGAACATAAAATTAATTTATAAAAATATATTATTGGATACTTAAAGATGATTCATTTGTTTTATTTAAATCGAAGTCGGTTACATTTGATTTATAGAAAAAAATAACATACATCATAGTCAAAAACAAAACATAGAATTACAATAAGTTTTATGCTACAACAGGTTGGGCTACGGTAGGGGACATTGATTTAAGGATATTTTCATGCATATCATCTAGAGCATCTTTATAATTGTCCAAGTCATCCATTTGATGGTAAACTTTTTGTGGATCTGAGGTTTGATAGTTGATTGTGGGCTCAAATTCATTTGTTGCCTTGAGATATTGTATAACTTTTTGGAACCACTTGTTTTTGGACTTATTAAGTTCATTCCTTGCTCTTTCCACAGCAGAATAGTCAACTTTTCCAGCAAAATATTCTCTTTGCATGTCGTTTAATGTCTGCGAATCGTCCATCAAGTTCATCTCAGCCTCTCCCAATTCGTACAAACTAGCTTTTACTGCACAGAAATCTTGGTCTATTAATGGTTGCATCATTAATGCATTGCTTTCTAGTACATTGTAGCTTATGATGACCACCTAAATTATTAAAAATATTTTGATATTTAAAATATTTGATGTCTTGTATATACATTGCAATATTGAGTTCCTAAGTAATAATTATTGATAAGTGAATTATTACTACAATTTAATATTAATATCTTGGACTATAATGTTATTTAAATTTGAAAAAACACCCCATTAGCTAATAAAAACACACAATCATTTAATTTTTTCATAGTTGATAACAATTCATTTTAAATATTTTGCAGTCGTAGCGTACCTATATACCACGGATTAACAAATAATACATGTAATACATTGCATGTATATAGTAGGTACATATTTAATGCTTCATTGCATAGAAAATAATAAAGTATTTGATTAAAGTGTTTTATTTTTACTAACTATTAACTTAATATATTCTATACAGTCAAATATAAGTGAACATAAATTATGTATTGCATTAATCGTATTAATTAATATTGTCAATTTTACTAACATAAATTTACTAAAGGTAAAACAATACATTAATATGAATTGTCACATAGGTAATATTATATTTTATACCATTTTAATGCCTATCTAATTATTTTAAAATATATTACTCAAAGTCTATGATATAATTTTTCTAAAATGAGTATAAGTAGTAAATACGCAATCTAAAAGTATACAAAAACAATAGTGATCATTATATAGCCAAACTAAGTAAAATGATTGACACAATGTTAACCTGTTTCATTACACGATAATTTCATTAATCAAATACAGTAGAGTTTTTCTGTTTTTTTTTAAATTCTAAAATATTAGACTTTGTCTTTAACTTTATGGCTTGTAATTTAGTTGTTGCCTAATTTATATTAAATAAAGGTTTATTATTGTAATTTATACACTGCAAAAAATACATACCACTAAACTGGAAAACATTGCGATTTCCTTGAAAGCCATATTTGGTCGGAGTTTCCGCAAGTGTATTAGATATTTATGTCAATTTTAAATGAATAAAATATCCAAATTCTGAACAATATATATACGATTTGTTTTATGTTTGATCTCTTAAATTTGTTGACGCAAGTGAAATTCGTATTATTAATAAAAAAAAATAATATTCATATGAATGCAAAGTAAATATTATGACGTTGGTATTCACTTCATTGTTTATACAGGGTACATATAATAATTCCAAACGTAAACATATTTTGAATGAACTCATTCACATTTTTTTTAGTTTGTAAAAATATTTAATTGTGACCTATTACTATTATGTTATTTTAAAATACGGGTCAAACCTATTACAACAAAATTGTACTACATCAATAGGAGTGTATGTATAGAGAGATATTGTTATAAAATGTTTAATTAAAGTTTGTCATGGTAAAGTAAACATAATCAAAATAATAATAATTTAAAATCATTTTTTTATTACTTGTGAAATTGAACATCCTATACAATATTTTTTGACTGTTGATGGAAATGTTTTTTTATGAATTTCAAAATCTCTGTTCAACTAGGCAGTCACATATTACAATTTGACAAACAAAAACGTCATTGCAGATATTTTGAAATACACATGACAATTAATGCGAGCAATATGAAATTATAGCTATGTTATGATGTCATTATAATCGAAATTACAAATTTATGAAAATTAAATCAGTTTTTAATTTGTCAGTGTATCAGAAATTTGAATAGAGTTTTACTGCAATTTAAGTAAAAAACCATGTTTACTTTTCCAATAAGCCTTCAAATAGTTTTCAATATTTTTTTAAAAACAAATTAAAAGTTCTTTTAAATATTCCATTCAGCTTAGATAAATGTTTTTTTTTTTAAATTAATAATGAAACGTTATATTCAACATACATTTAGGTTGAGAGTTGCATATACCAAGGAAGCTATTAGTTTCACGATTATGTGTTTTTTTGTTTCAAAGAGCATTTTTTTCGGAACAGTAAAAGTGATTAAAAAGACCGAAATCCAGCTTAAAACTGTTTTATGTTAAATTTATAATTATTATTAATTCAACTTTTGTAAATTTAAAACTTTCTAATAAAATGGAAACATTTTGTTAAATGTATATAAATTACACCGACCGATTGGTCGAAATAATAGTATCCTAGGAATACATTTTTTTTTAAATATATAAACCATATTGTAGTTCTAACTCTTCGTTAGGTTTATGAGATTGACACCATGTGATAAGTTTATTACTTATTCGTAATACTATCAAATGTCAATGTACATTTTCTTACCGTCATATTTATTAGAAAAGATTACGTTCATTTATTGACTTGGGTTATTAACTAAAAAATTCAATGTTATCATAATTTCTATATTCCATGTCTCAACACACGTTTTTTGATGGTTAGATTTATATTGTGTATGGAACGCTTTGTGCGGATACAATATTATTGCAGAGGGTAAAAAGTTACTTTGGGAAATATCCTAATATGAAGAATAAGAAATTTATTTTTCTATCAGTGTGGAATATCAATTATTTGAACCACAAATATATTAGATCGTATTCATTAAAAAAAAAAAAATTAACTCGTGGATTTTTTGTATATAAATGTTTGAACAATAATTATTGAATAACTGTTTGAAAATAATTATGCAACTAACTGTTTGATATTTATTATGAATTGTGATTATAAACATAGTTTGAACAATAATTTACTGAGTTATTGTTTTTTAGACAAATGATGTGCAATAAACCAATTGATCACATTAAAAACGAAAAATATACATAAATATTTTGAAATGCAGAAAAATATATAGATAGTTCTATTTGTGTTTTTTACAAACATACCTAAACAACATTTCAAATAAGCATTTATTTGGGTTATTGTAAATTAATTTTTTTTACCCAGTGGTGGAAATTCATGTCATACCTATATCTTAAATTCAAAATGATCATCACTCTTAAAAAACCATGCAGATAAAACTATAATATGCTTAATAATGCATTGTTTAAATTTTAAACAAAATCGATGATATAATGTTATAACCCAGACAATTCCTATTGCATTTGGCACTCAACTCGTAGTTATGCGTTGGACAAAATAATTTACTTTATTTTGTTTATTCATATAATACATGACCATTTAGAATGGAGATTATATAAATACGATTACAGATACTATATTTATTCATTTGTTTGAAACGATGAAAACATGTGACTGACAATAGCCAAAGTTTATTAGGAAATATGAGTAGGCGTGCAATATTAATAGTTCTTGTAGCCGTTATAATAAGCATTTGATCAAATTCATAAAATATATAAATATATCAAATTTTGAGGATGGATTGTATCACAATCATGGAAAATCATGATTTTAATTTGGCATGGGTAATATTATACTGCGAAATGCTTCTTCTGAACTCTGTTGTAAAAAGCACGTGAATTAATTTACACTACCGATGGCTCGTTGGAAAATATTCGAATGGAATACATTATTATTGTTTAGCAGTTGATAACGGTCAGTATTTGATTGGGTTTTACTACTATAATTATTCAATACCACTGTCATTACTATTTGATTTTGTTGGTAAAAACTAAAAGTAGAAAATGATCGATATAAATTGGTATATTGTTGAATTAGTTATGATAATATATTATTTGAAATCGTATTTGAAAACGATTTGGGCAGAATATCAAATTATGTACATTCAGTTCGAAACCAATCACAATTATTATTTTTACACAATCATATTCGTGACGGTTCACACGTGGCCCATCGTTGTTGCTTAGCATTAAAATTCTAGTACACTATCTTGGTTATTTAGACCTCATTATAATAATTTCCCCAACGCCATTTAAATGTGTGTAAGTGCATGAACTACATCGATAACTATGCAACTTTTAGTTTTTTTTTTTTGATTATGATTTTTTCAGTTAGTCAGTTAATTGTTTTTAAATAAACGTTAACTGTTATTATTATATAATAATAATTGTTTGTTTCTACTATAGTTTATCGTACTCTTTCAGCAATTTACACTACAGTTTTGAATTATATCGAATATAATAAAAAAATAAAATATATATAGATATAATGAGAAGACCAAATATGAAATTGGAAATGGCAGTAATTAGTTCAAAAATAATTCCAATAAATATTCCGGTCCTGCAGTTAATGAATTTCATGAGTAGATATATGATTTTCGATTCACGGTAGTCAGTGGTGTACTGGTGTAGCCTGACTAGAGGATCAACTGAGTTAGAACCTTCCAATCCAATTAAACTTTTTTTTTTACGCCAACTGATCCGGGTCTGGACTCTACTTTACAAACTTTTAAGTATTATTCACTGACTAGTTTAAATGTTTAAATAGTCAGATTACTGTTAACACTTAAATTATCAATGATTTAGAATGTAAAACGGACAGTACATGTTCTGAAATGCGTTTTTTTTTTTAAATAAATAAATATTGTGAGTTTTCCTTAAACAGTGAATTATGTCTTAGTAGTTAATGTACAATGTACATATTTTATATTATTCAACCATTCATAATATTATGTATTTCTAAATCCATGAAAACCACATAGTAATAATATATTAAAATCAAGACATTTATGTATACATATTATATATATCAGTAAATTATTTATTTTAAGTAAGAAAGGCATACTTCAATTTAGAATAAAAATTATTTATCGATGAACAAAATTGAAATGGGACTGACACAAAATAAAAAATCTTTTTTCTGATATTGTGCTCTGTCCCTCTTGTGGCGGGGATCGTTATTATGGACGACAAAAAAATAATTGTTACTTTTCATTTGAATGCTTTAAATTAAGCCGAGCGACCGACTTAAAGAAAAGATCAAAATAGTTGTTTACTACAATTTGTATAAAAATATCAATATTTGAAACTCATAAATAAACCGTAGCATATTTTATTATTGTAAATTATTTATTACATACATAACTAACTTCAGTATCACTACAATAACACTATATAGTATTATGAGTTATAGTATAGTCAATTTCTAACATTGACTATTTTTAAGACAATTATGCATTTGTTAATACTCAAGTTCTTATTTACCTAATATTTTCATACATCTGATATATATTAAATAATAATTAGATGAATAATATTTATATGTTATGACATGCTTGTCAATAAGGCTAAAGGATTTGAAATAAGAAATTGCAACTTCATCGTTCAGGGTCATTTAAAAACAACTACAAGTTATTATGTTTGACAACGTTTTGTAAATGAATTTATTAACAAGCTACTAAAATTATTTACTATTTAAAAGTTACAATATAGCACGGTCGATGGGAATGTCGTCGTCCAATGATGTGACTGGGATGTTGGTATCATAGTTTATTAACGTTTTGAATTGAATCAACGAATGGCGGTAGTCCATCAACTTGTTCTCAAAGTAGTTTAATGCTTTCTCGAATTTATCTTTTTTTTCTGTTATTTCTAGAGTGAGGCCTGGTTGTTTATTGTATAACGAATAGTAGTTGTAGGCACTTCTTGCAGAGGCAATTACATTGAATAAAGCTTGGTTCAATGTGTATACACTTTTCTTGAATTCTGTGAAGGTTGTACGTTCTTTTGGATAGTAAGGCATATACGGCAAGTGTAATGCTAATGCGGACGGCTGGATCATTTCAGCGGAGACATAAGTCACAATCTGTGAAATAAAGTAATTCAATGTTTTAGTATTCGGTGATTGGATGGAAACGTACACATTATTGTGAAACAATAATGTAATATTATATTTCAATTTTTCAATACAACTTTTGGAAATGTATCTTTTATATTACATTTTTTAAACAAAAAATGTCAATAAAAACGGATTATTATTATTAAGATAGTATACATAGGTATCGATATTGTGTAATATTCATGTTCAGAGGTACAGAATTTATGTTGTACATGAGTTCATGTGAACATTTCAAATATTTCAATTTTATAATTTATATTATTCAAACAAATAACAGACTTTATAAAATAATTGTCCTCACATAAAAAATACAATATTAAGAACGTTATAGATAATACATAATATAACATAATATTATTAGTTATTTCTTAAACAATAGTTATAACTAATATATACATACCAGAACGACAGCAAAAACTGAAATTTTGACCGTCATTTTGATTGTTTGTAACAGCTAGTGTTATTTACTGCTGACAATATAGAAAACCCAAAATTGATGTCTAACGCAGAAACTATGGGTTTTATACGATTTTTCAAACAGCGTCATTTCGATCATGTTATTTCAGGTGTTTCCCGACGTGATTGTTACCTGTCATCTGCAGTACTGTGTAACAAAACAAATATGGATTATGTTACTCATTTTAAACTACTGTACGGGTCGACTTTGAATAACCTCTATAGAACTGAGTACAAACACGTAATTAATGCTATGGCAGTCAAATATTATAGTCGATGAATGGACACAGTCAAGATGGCTTGATGGAGTGATAATGGGATTTTTTGTTTATTTATCAAAAACAATATAATTTATTATATATGGTTCGAATGTGCTTTGACTTAGATGATTTTGACTTGTCGTGAAATGTAAATACATTTAGTCATTGGTATCGACGTATTTACTCTTTTAAATAAACACACATAATATTGTTCAAGAGTTATCACACAATTTTTGCGTGAAAACTACGAAGGTTATTGATTTGAAATCTCGACTGTTTGACGTCAATAATATTTATACCATTAATTCCTGAATATATGAACTAAAATTAAATGAGACTAGTGTAAAGAATTTGGAAATCTTTTAAAGGCCAATGAAATAATAATGAAATCGGGTGCCCCGAAATCACCTTCGCACTTTGGGGTATGGGCTCCCATAATACGATATCAAAATTATGCACATTTTTTTATTGTTATTATAGCTTTTATTTCAGATCCCCATCATTCTCAGTCTCCGAAATCTTCAATTCACAATCCTTCTTTTAATCCTTTTAAATCGTTCGTCACTCGATCTATGGTTAGGTTTATGGTTTACAAATAAGTACCTACTTGTTTTATAAACTTCCCTTCTAAGTGCTTTGTAACATGCCAGAACATTTCAATTCCATTTGATTAAAGAAAATCATGTAATCTTTATCTATTTTATAGCCTATTGATGTACACTGCCTTTTCTAATCGTATTTGCCAATGTAAGATTTAGTATCGGTCTATTTATTAGTAACTTTTTTCCTCTCAAAAATCATCTGTATACCTAGTTTATTTCTGTCATTGACCACACCCATTTACGAGAATTTCGTAAAGACAAAGTCTATTTTGTATTTTTTTTTTAATTGGTGTCTGGTTAAAAGAGTTTCAATGTTTGGTAACGTAATGTCTTCAATTTGCCCTACTTCTTTTAAGAATTTTTTTGTCATACATATTGTTTTAATAATATATTATATTAAATCTTAGGTTATTTTAAATCATCATTTTTTTAAAAAAAACTAAAAGATCTCAATTTTTGGAACAAGACGTTTTAACAACACTTACCAGCAACTTAGTTTGATTTTAATATTTTTTTTTAAAGACCATATTTTGACTTATTCCAGTAAGTTTTCTTGTACTACTTTTGATTTATTTTTAGAATCCCCAGGTAACACAATGAGCTATATCTCCAACTACTTTAATACCACGGTTTTTCTGCCTATATCTCAATATCTTATACATTTTTCAAGAGCTAAAAATGCTGGAGACAAGAGTGTCTTGTCTCAGTCCATATTATACTTTAAATGTTTTTGATGTTTCTCTTAAAAAAACAATCTTAAATATTGTGTTTGCGTTGTAACACTGAATTAGGTTAAAAAATTTATCACAAATTCCAAAATGTATATGTGATGAAATAAATCGGTTTCTATTAATCCTATATTTTGTTAAGCGGATCAATTGTAAGTATTTAATTAACTTATTTATTTAAAATAAAATATAGCTATGTGTATTTAATGATAACATGCAAAATTTAAAAACTAAGATTAACAAAAATAACTGCATTTACTGTACTTATATTATTATATGCTGAGCGACAGTCATCATAGATGTTACTTTTCTTCCTACTTTAATAGTTTATCATTATCATAAAAGTTGAATATTTATATTATGTGTAGAGCTTGATCAAATAAAATATGGAGTTTTTTATTCGACCATTAAAATCTACATTCATTTTTCTATCAAAATAGATGATTCCCAGAGAAATATTTTGCATTCTATTCAAATGTGAGTATCATATAATATGCAATACCGACTAATAGTTTTGAGTATAAAACTATTAACTTTGTCCTGTTAATTATTATTTATTATATTATATTATTCTGCATTTTAATCGTTGTCCTTATTAAATTTGCATTGATATATTATTTCATACCACTTGTGTGCCTAGTTAAATCTACTAAACATTATCGCAGGCTTGATAAATTATAAATTAAGCACTATATTATATAGATTCAGAGTGAGCCTTAAACAGTATATCTAAACTATAGATTAAAATTTAATTGGAATTATTCTACCACTCGAAAGTATAAATGTTCGCTCTTCATAATACACTTAGTAAATTTAAAAATAAATATGAATAAAACTAAAAAACAACAAGCAAAATAATATGAAACATTATTAACATTTTTATAATTTTTATTCACGATATTACTTGTTTTTGACATAGGCACGTGGGTATACAATATTGTCATAGGCACTAGTCAAATATATTAAACTGTATTTTAATACTGTATAATTATTAATTATTATTTAACAGTCGTACTGAAAAAATGTGATTCTTTGTTTAATAATTTCAATTTATAATATCGCATATACAAAGTATACACGTTCATCTATTATTTAATTGTCATTAATTAATGATTTTTCAATTAAATCCATTAATTAGTTTTATTCACAATAAAAATCAAACAAAAAGTATAGAATAACGATATTATATTATGGGAAATGAGAATGCTAAGTTATATACATTTTAATTGATTCGATTAAAAATGTAAATCATTCCACACTGTAAATTCAATACATTAGTACATTGCACATTTTACATTGGATATACTCGTATAATAATTACTATTGATAAATAGGTACTTTCTTAAACACTTTACAAGTTGAACTAAAACAACGTTTGAACAAATTTATTTTTTAGTATAAAATTTTGTTTTAACAAAAAACAAAGATCCACCAATAGCGTTTATATCATAGGTATAGGTACTAAGATAAAAATATTTAATTATTCAGACAATTTTAAGTTTAAATAAATAAATTTATATTTTATTAAACTTTAAATTATTAATAACGTGTTTTAGGGACCAAATTAAATTATTGTTAAAGTTATTATAAACAATGTGTTACATATATTTAGTTTCAAAAAATGTCATATCACATATCGTAAATTGATATACCCATTTAATTGTGTTTTAATTTTTTAAATATTATTTATATTCAGTTTTCAAAAATATGAATGATTTAAAGTTATAATTTTTTTTATCTTTTTACAAAAGTGCATATTAATATATAGTTAAATTATAAAGACATTCATTTATAACATTTTAGTGTCTAGATACACGATGTTAAAATATGAAGATCTGATTAAATTAACTTGTAAAAAGCTAATTATAAGAAGAAAAAAACAATTTGATTAGATTTTAAACAAATTTACATAATTTGCATAATATCTACTAATCATTTTATTTGAATGACAGACAGTTTTTCCTCGTTTTCCTTTTTTTGTCAAATCACAAAATAGCATAATTATAATATTGTAAATATGTTATAAATTTAAAATTAAGATTTTTCGATTTTTCGTGTACATGGTATACCCATGCAATCAATTGTATTTTATCGTAGACGTTTTTCCGCATAAATATGATAATTTCTATATATGCATCAGATGTGCCTTGTGTAAATAATTAAACATCAATCATAATAATCAAGGTTAGTATCATATTATTTGTGTAATGTAGTTTATGCAATTTTGACAGCAGTATATTATGCAATTTGTATACAAAATTTAGTTTGTTCCTGGCAAATGTAGGCTTGTAAACATAAACATTTATAAAACACAATAATATCAAGGTATTTCAAAAACAATAGCATCACTTAAATTATTTATTTTTATAATAATACCATTGTGTATAGTTATTTTCAGAATTTTGTTTTGCACATGATTGGTTCATGGTATACAGTCGTGGTCTGTGTTTGAAAATTAATTTCAATACAGTGTTTTATTCTTTTCTAAACTCGAACTCAGTGCAATCAATCATTAAATCGGAAATAGACAAATAGTGTTGTTACCGGTGTGTGTTAAGATGTTAAAGAACAAATACGATATCCCTGAAATATAACTTGGCCATTTGTGAGACAAATCGTTCTTGTGACATAAACCACCGATATCAGTATATTCGCTGCGTTACGCATTCCATTGATTTTATGTTGATTGCCCGTATACGATTGCACAATGTTTCCCAAAGTGCACAAACGTCATACCATTGTAGCGATATTATTTATAACAGTTTATAACCACAATAACTAATGTATCCTTGTTAAAATTGTTTCTTTATTTTGCAACATTTATCATGAGCGAAATAATAAAAAATTACGTACGTAAGCAAATGTTGATTATTGTAAATTAGTTAGGATATAATTGTATCAAGCCAATATTAAAAGTTAACACATTTTACATGATAACAAACGGGGTTATTTGTTTCCATGTGGTGAGCTTTAATATTGTGGAGCAGTCTTACGCAAACAGTAAATTAGAGAAAATGTGTGGATCCCTCGCATGAGATGACAAATGACTATTAAAAAGTAAACCGAAAACATGGAAATGTGTTTATGGTTTGAATGCAAGTTGGAGAAGGGATTTTGGGGGCTGTCAAATAGGGTGAATATTGGAGGAATAATTTGAACGAAATAAATAAGTATGCGATTGGGTCTTTTTGTTCAAAAACAACACTGACATTTTGATAATAAGAAGGATTTATTGGGAATACATTAGAAATAGCTACAGCTTATACAGAAATAACGTCAGCACGTTAGCGTGAATTTAATAATCGATACGACGTGTAATACCGAATACATAATATTATGTGGTGGTGGGTACCTACCTACTCGAATTATAGAGCAGAAACGGAATTAAAATCATTTCTGGATGCTTTTTCGTGAATGGGATTACGTAAATTACTCGAAATTATAATAATATTCCACCGTTTAGGTGATCAATGTATATATTA